CCAAGGTCATGCAAGATGGTGAGAGAGGACACCGGCACTGTCTTTGTTCTTATACCCTTTTTATTAGCAGACTCAGCACACTTTGAAGCTTGCTGCTGCCTTGGATTCGCTTCATTTTAAAAGTCTTAATCTAAAGAATATTAAATTTTAAATTTCTGGATTTTTTAGATTTCATCTGACACTGCACATTGGATTTGTCAGCCTTTTTTGTATTTTGTATTTGCTTATTTAAATGTATTACCTTTCTTTTTAGTAGTAGATAAGAACACACGTGAACCATTTGCTTTTGATAGATGACTTCAAAGTAATTTTACTAGTAGTCTGCAATGTAAATGAAGATCCTTTGCCAACAGAAATGTATTGTGGAATCACCAGAAGAAACAGAGACATGTTAGTTGTCAGCCAATAAGTTCTTTGTCTCAGAGTTATCACAATATTAAAAAAATGGTACGTCAGAGTGCATCACAGTATCTGTGTTCATATTGGTAATAAACTGTTTATTGTCCACATGGCCCTGCCTTTATTTGTTTCATTTGTGTCTTGAGCTCCCATGATTTTATGTCACTTGAGCTGCTGCTGAAGGGAAGGTGACTGAGACTGACTGGGTGGCAGCTCTGCCTGGCCAGCGCCGCAGAGCAGAGGATGCGTTTCAGCGGCCTTCCGCAGGGCCGCGTGGCTCTCACCTGCCCTGCCCGCCTGGCCTCGCCTCGCCCGCTGAGCACCACCTCCCCAGCACGCTGTGGTAACCTCAGCAACATTTAGCCAAGTCCGTGAAAGACAGTGACTTATGGCTCTTCTCAGGCCACCAGTAATTGCCCCACTGCATCTCCTGCCATCACTGGAAATGAAAACCACAGGTCCCATCACCTGCACTCGTCAGGGCTTCCAGTGAATAAAAGGGAGAGTATTTATGCAGAACAAGGCTAATGAAGGCATTAGAACGATGCAACCTGAAATCACTGGCACAGTGCTGCGGAATTAGAGGCTTAAGGGGAGTCATTTGTTAATATCTCATGTTTTATTTGTTAATGTTGTGTAGGTCTTGAGCTTTATTTCACAGAAAGTGAAGTCAAAGCTATGAATACAGGATACCGAACACTTAACAGCCACATGCCTTTTCTTATCTTTAAGGTCATAGAATTTTTTTTCTTTAGACCCATTCTTTCCAATAGCACCATCTTAGGAATTTCTCCTTGACTTAGTTTGCACAAGCTTTACACAGCGGTAGTCTCAGTACCATCTTCTTGATAATTTTTTTGCAAAAGGCAAGAGATTGGGGGTGAGCTGTAGAAATTTGTCAGATATTTTCCAAACCTCCTGCTTTGCTTCAGTCTTTACTGAAGATTGTGTTCTAAAAGCCATACCCCAGAAATGGTTTTGGGAGTGGAGCCTTGTCAAGCAGCCCGGGACAGTCCCCTTGCACATGTCCTCCAGACCTCAAGGAGCACAGCAGCAGGCAGGAGAGTACCCAGGAGAGGAGGTGGAGTGGAGTGTGCTTTGCAGTTGGTTGTAAAATGTTACCTGCTTTGGCTTGGAGAGCGTAGGGTTGTCCTTCAGCACCTTTCAAAGCAACCCAGTCTGCCATTTAGAAAATAGTCTTTTTTACAATGTGTTTATACTGGAGATTAAATATGGGAGAAACGTGAGAAATTTGAGTTCAATGCAGTAGTGAGCTTCAGACTGAGCCTGATGTCTGTTAGCTGTTTAACCTGTCTTCTGCTGGCATTAAACAGTTGGCTAAGAATGCTGCATGAGAGCTAAAGAAGGCAGACGTCGATGTGCACCACAATACCACAAGCCCAGGACCAGGAGAAGGAGCCCTTCCAGTAGGAAGAACAGAGGAAAGCATCAGTAACAGTGAGGATTATTTGTTGCATAAATCTGACACAGTAGCTCATGCATTTCTGAATTAGAAACCTATTTAATTGCATACGTGACCACGGCAAGTACTTTTCAAAACTGCTGCCTCTCAGATGATCAAAACCATTCTCTGAAACTCTCCCCTAATCTTAATTAAGCTGCAGGAAGTTTGGGCCAGGCACAGTTCACATTTTCCCTTGAAATGTGACATTATGCTTAAGGTCAGTAATAGCTGCATTGTAACTCAGGCCAAGTGTCCAGCCTGGGTACAGTGTGCCCCTCTCAACATCAGCCACCTGCTGACTCTCCTCTACCTTAACTGGCCTTGTATCATTAAGACATAATAAGCTGAAGTTTCCACAGGGCCCCTTGGTGGCTGTGGGAGCAAAGTGCACAGTGGTGGCAGGGGAAGCTCTGCTGAGAGGGGCAGGGAAGCAGTCCTGGCAACACTTGCTTGTTCCCAGCTTAAGGTTCCAGGGATGTTCAGGGTGATTTATCTGCAGTAGTGCCAATGCCAGAGGATTTTCCCCCTGCCAGACACTAATTCAGTCTGGCTGTTGGCTCAGCAGAGAAGGGTGTCCCTTCACACTGGGCTTGTTAAGGCGCTGCAACAGGGCAGGTCACAGGCGTTTTACATAGCAGAAATCAAAGGGGGGCATTAACCTCCACTCTAACCTGACATACAGCTATTTGTTCCTCCTCTCTCCTCTTGCCAGAGCAGTAGTGTGGCCACACAACAAAGAGCTGGATTAATTTTTAAGCAAAGAGTATAAAACTATAGCCTTTAGGTACTTTTAACTCATATGTCCTGTAGCTGAAAAAAAAAAAAAAAAACAACCAAAAACAAAACCCACTTACCAACAAAAAAAAAACCCAGACCCTTCTC